TGTTCTACTATTCTTCACTGGAAAATTTTTAAGCAGAATTTGAAAATCTGATGTATACCTGTTTAAAATTTTGGCTTCTCCTAGCCCCGGGGGAGGCTTGATTTTCATGTATCTAAATCAACGCTGCATGAATATCTTGTGATCCTACTATCTTTTTATATATTTTTAATATATTCGATCAGTGCATATTATCTATTCAAGATATATTACTAAAGTCAGGTACTCTTCACACAATTGCTCCGAAGAAAATAGTTCCATTGATGATCAGTAGATACAACATTACACCAAATGTGAAGAATAATGATGTATATTTAATACGTTGAAGAAAACAAAATTAACGTAAAAGTTTTTAAGAAAATCACTTTTTCCCCAGAAAAGCAAATAAAAAGTTTTCATATTCCTACGCTCGCTGCCTCCTCAGTCTTTTTCACGAAAATATATAGGTCATACTTCGATTGATAATGATAAATCTTTTCACCAATTATATTACTGTCATGATTATTGTTCGTTAATTGCCGTATATTTCTTTTGAGTGAGAATGTTAATCATTAACTGTGGGTTTTTTTCTTTCTTTTTTTTAAATAACGGAATGGTTATTTTGGTTAAACACCTGCAATCGTATTAACTTCTCTGCACAGTAACGTGATTTTCCGGACTTCGTCGGTAAGGATCTTCGCACGTGTGTAGACCTAGGCTATTTGGTCTTGCAAGCACAGTTGTGTACACCGATCGCTTGTGACGCTAAGATCATGTAGACTGGTATCAGAATTTTCTACAGACATGAAGAAGTTTAGAACTATACACCAGTTTCATAACAAGTGCAGGTTTTTTTTACTCAAGCCCTAGACTGGGCTAGAGGGGCTGAGTTATCTATTTAAAAACGATGCTAGGTCATCGATCTACTCAGTTTAAAAACTGGAAATATACTATTTCTGTAAAGAAAAACATTTCTAGAAACAAAAATGAAGTTTATCTTCAAAACGTCTGCATTATCAAAATCTATATTAAGTGTTAAGGACATACGCAACGTACCTTACCTACTGATAATTTTTCAAGATATTCTTAATTTAAATTTATAGTGCCATCAGATGTTCATAGACAAAAAATCAGCGTGCATTACCAGGGGTTTTGAAAATATATCAATTGATGAAAATTCTAGTATAATTCAAAGAAAAATACACAAAAATTACTAAACATATATTCTAGATGTTTTGTTTATCCAAACGTGTTTTAGAAGAAGTGTATAACAGCATTTATAGACATAAAGAAGTAACACATAATTCCTTTAAGAATTGGAACTCTTCAACTCCAGGGAAAAAGACAATAAAGTTTAAACAACGTTGCGTATGTCCTTAAATGTCGGATTCTATTTTATGACGAAGGAATATTCAGTGATGCTCCACAGCCGCAACCGATCTCGAGCTTTCCTTTGTGTTTAACAACGGCCGTCTCTGGACGAGTTCATTGATTACTCTAAAAGGTGACAGGTTGACCCATCTTTAACATCTGCCTTTACTTTGAGTGATTGTACTTAAATAGCACAAAATTAAAAAATAAATTAAAATATATCCTTGATAGATCTATAGTTCTGCTATTTAAAAAAAAAAATTGGGCTATCTTTGATAATCCATAGCGGCTTGGACTTGTTTACAGAAGATTCTATAATTTGGAAAGTTAGATGGTACACATGTAGCACAGGCCCATAGTACGCGGGATTTTTTCGGAGCCCCCCCCCCCCTTCACTTTGAAAACGTTGCTACAGGCCTGTAACATGCTGTTTGGATTAAATATTCCTGAAAATGAGTGAGTTGTTAAATACATTTTTAAAATTATACTATTAATTATATTTAGTCTATGTTCTATGTGAAATTAAAACTATTTTTAGGCATGTGCAACTTTGTGATAAAGTCACTACATGCATGTAACGTTATATGTTCATGCAGTTTGTTTCCTAGTACATGCATATTTTTATTCAACAAAAGATGTTGAAACTCAGTAGCCTAAATATTATGTCACTTTAGGATATTTATGGCACTTTTATAGTTAACTTTCTACAGCTTGAGTATCGATTTGTCAGTAAATACTTGTTTTTTTATGAGAAATCATCTGAGCACAATGAAAATTCGAATAAATTGAAAGTCGAATATCTTGGATATGGGGGTAACCCATATCTATTCTTGTTATATAAGATTTAAAAAAAAAAAAAGATTATCCTTTGTGTATTGTGAAAGGTAAACATTTTTGTAGTCCCAAATCTACCCGGAGTACATTATATAATCATGCACGCTGTTTTGAAACTTTAGTAAATTGACACAATGTGGTGTCTATGCATGTTGCGTCAATGTTCTAGTCGGATGCTTTATACAGAAATACTTGTAATTTTATATAAAAATGGCACCATTTTAGCAATAGGTTCAATTTAAGTTTAAATGTGTTGGCTTTGATAATTGCTGGTAAATCTCACATGTTTCTTCACGAGTTTGTTGTTTAGAAACAATTTACGATGAAAAATCTGCGACAAGTCTTAGCCAAATGAAAAGCTAGATATATATTAGCACATTGTTTAAAGTCGTTTTTCCAATGAACTCTTTGTTGTCACTCAATCGATATCACTACATGTAGATATTTCAAAAAGTCTCCTGTCTTTCAATCTTATTCTTTGTTTATCTATTTTTCTAGATAGGGATATTACTGGTAGATTTTTTAAAACCCTTTTTTTTTTGGGGGGGGGGGGTTACAAAGTTTTCAAATTGCCTTATTTAATATGATAACATAAAAAGTTCTCTTTTTTTTTCTTCTTTTTTTTTTATTTTTATTTTTTTTGCGAAATCAACAAATTAATGTTGCGATGAATGTTTGAATTGCGTTTTAAAGCTTGCTCGCAGAAAAGACAACTGTTTGCTTGAACTGTTAAAATTTTTTTTGTTCATAATATTTTTTCGACTTATGGATAATCTTAGTTTTCTGAAAAAAAAATCAATGGAACAGAAATAAACCTTATTTTACCTTTTCATAAATCAAAATGATAGCAAAGGATAAAAAAATTAATACATCCTTATCTCGCTTTTTAAAAAGCGCATTCGAGTCAAAAGTAAATATTTTCGACCTTGACCTTTGGGTCCACTTTTAAAAAACTTTAATCTTAGGCTTAATTTTTGAATAGTTAGTACTAGAGCCGTCATATTTCACAGGTGTATTCCATATGTCAGGGCCTTCCCTTGAATACCATCAATTATGACCTTTTGACCTTTACCTTGGAGTTTGACCTAACTTTTAAAAAAAACTTTCACCTTGACCAAAACTTTTGAAAAGTTGATGCTAGGGCTATAATATTTCATTTATTAATATTTTCATTTAATATGACAAGGTCTTCCCCTGGGTACTTTTAATTTGACCCTTTGACCTTGGAGTTTGACCCACATTTGAAAAAAATCTTAAACCTTGGCCATAACGTTTTAATGGTTAGATCTTGAGCTTTCATATTTCACAAGTTTATTCATTGAGACAAGTCCTTTCTTTAGCATTGAAACAACATTTTTATCCCTTAAATTTGACTTGCATTTGAGAAACTTCAAACTTTGCCAAAAACCGCCATACGGGGGCATCAGTGTTTCACAAAATACATTTTAAAAAATATATATATATTTTAAATTTATTTGAACAATTTCTTTTACCGAAAAACATTAAATATTTGCTTTCAGGTCTTCATTTTCAACTATATCAACATCACCAGTAATGACGTGTCCAACGGGACTGAAGTTGAAAGAAGAAGAGCAAAAACACCTAATAGGATTTTGTTATAGATGGTCAAAATATAGGTACTGTAAGGTTTGTTTATAATTGAGAATTCTGGGAGCAACAGTTTGGGAATATCTGTAGAAAATTCAGGGTGTAGACTTCAACTTGAAATATGGTTGGATGCAAGACTAAACTGAATTATATTTTCCATGATTTAGTGTCTTTAAACTACTGACGTTTTCGCCTGAGTTGTCGCATCAAAGGACAGCTCAAGCGTCACAAACCGGACGGCCCCTGTCTGTTGGAAATGTTCTTACTTCTGAAATCAAGGTACCAAGTCAACGATATTAATTCGCGCAATAGGTTTATCTTTTCAAAAATAATAATATTATAAATAAATAAATAAATAAAAGTTGTAAGCATGTTTTTAAAAAATCTTTACGTTTTCATCATCATCAAAGTAAAAAATAAAGTCAGAAATCAGAATATGTCTCCGTCCAGTGGTATATTTGTATTGCAAGATGAATGGAAATGTACCTTGTTTCTTGGTGTTAACTATAAAAGTAAAATGATGAAAGGAAGAAAACTCATTAATTTTCATATTTTGTTCATATGCTTGACTAAAACATGTACCTTTAGTACGGTCGTTGCCATTTGTAGCATGATGTGTAACTAGCTGTTGATACCTCCCATTTATCTAACAGCTAAATGTAATCTCATTACTGTATTTAACTTTTTTTTTAAAGCAGGTATGATTAAATGCTCTTACAAAGCAGAGATTTATCTGGGCATAAATTTGTATGAAATAATCCATTATGAATTCACTATGATAAACCAATAGCAAAACGAGGAAAAGGTAAAGTTAGAGGTCATAGAGAAAATCAAGGTCAGATTATCACAGAAAAAGTCAAGGTCAGATTATCAAAGAGAAAGTCAAGGTCAGATTATCATGACACAGTTATAAAGCTCTCACAATCGTCATTAGTATAAGCATTTGGTAAAAATAGCAATTTCTTTGAAACAGCTAAACGCAAAGTGTGACGGACAGACAGACGAAAGGACAGAAGAATGGAACCATGGAAAACTGACACAAACTCTCTTTTCCCTGGCTGTATTCATGGCGGGGCATAAAAAAGGTTTTTTTTTTTATAAAACGTAAATAGATATTATTTATAAAACGTAAATAGATATTACTTGATGAAGAGAGTGAAACATAACTTGAAAACTGAAGTTCTTCAGTAAATTTATTGAATAAACTTCCTTTCTATTCACATGAAAACATGTAGGCAAAACAAGAATACTGTTTTACATATTGAGAGCATCTGATACGTTAAATTATTAATACTATATCACAAACAAACCTTGACATTTTACAACCGATATCGAAGAAAACGTAATTCCACTCAAATACTGTCAAATAGGCAACTATAAAAATAATGGTCATATATTTTGGCAATTGTTTTCTATATAGCATTACTTCGCCATTTAAGGCACCTTTGTCAATAAAGTTAATAGTAACAAAAAATCCAGGTATCAAATACACAACACCTAGCAACAACAAACAGTACTATCTAGTTTTAAGATTTCACGAATGTCTATTTCTTCTATGTAAAAAGGCAACCAAAGTTAACTACTTACTAGCAATACAAATCCCACATTTATGTTATTTTCCTTGCATTTTCACCAAACTAAAACCATATGCTCACACTATAGGCATTAACCTGTACATGTTAATTAAAAGGAAAAATCAAATAAAATGTGCGTTTTGGCAAATTAATGAAGTCAAGCCTGCGAATATGATCGTCAGTGCAACAAAACAATTCACTAACTTCAATTCTGGTACTGAATAAAATTCAAAGGAATTGCAATTCAAATTCAGTAGAATTCAGTATAGATATAGCTTCTTGGGTTTGAAGAGAATTTCTTCGCAGGTTTCATCAAGTTTTCAGAGGGGTGTAAATTCGCGTTGATATCTTCTAATGCCATCCTAAAATTAAATTCAATAGGTGGCAAAAGCAGCAAATAACGTTTTAAATTGGTGTTTTTCAGTTTAAATTGGTGCTTTTCAGTGTTTTAGCACTGACTAGTACCATCTTTTAACTAGTCCACGCGGTGATGAGGTATACTAGGTGGCCAATCAGGATGCATTAGGAAGTCACCACGTGACGGTTTGCTGATATACCGAGTCCTCTGCATCGCCTCGATATCTTCCCGCCGCCTCATTTCCGTTGATCCTATTCCACTTCTGGAATAACGCATCATATTTGGCAATTGTTCCCTATTTCGTATGGCCTCCAGTGCTCGATGTAATTCTAAATTTTCTGAAAAGCAAAAGGAAAACAAGTTTTTTTTTTAAAATACAGAAGGGTATTCCAAATATTTATCATAAAAAATTGGCAGGTCAACATTCATCAATGCCTTTTTTGGCTTCTCAAGATTTTCTACTGGATTGTGCCCCTTCCCAAATGAACTTAGGTTGTGGTTCTCCCCAAATGAAATAACTTCCTACATGCCTGATTGATACAGTAATTGGACTCACCTGCGGCACCTGCGTATTTCATCCACCTATACGTTGAAGCCAACGCGGTTTTGGGCCTTTGTGGTTCTTCCAAGGGTATTCCATGCTGAAAATTGAGAATTGCAAATTAAAAGATAAGTAGATCCAAGAATTTTTTAGGGGTGTTGGGGGGGTTGGGGGGTTCGTACAACCCTGAACCCACACGGATCTGAAGCTAGACACGGAAGTGATTTTAAAATTTGAGACTTCTTTTTTCAGTAGCAGTTTCTCAATACGGACAGGCCCATTTTTGTGGAGGAATAAAATATATCTTTCCTTTAAGTTTTAACATTCTGTAAAATCTGTACGTACTGAGAAAAAAAGAACAAATGAGAAAAGTTTGCTTTATGCTTTCTACAATTAATCCTATTTACTTTGATCAATGGACATAATAACAAGATACCTCCACGTTTGGCTCTGTAATGTGTTTGCCTTTCTGTTCCTCCAGAACGTTTGGCAACTGGTACAAATCTAATAGAATGTCATATAGAAAGTGTAAAACTATTAAAATATTGAACATAAACTAATCATAAATAGAAGTGCAAGGGTACTAAATCTTGAATACCAACCTTTTTCATCTGATATTTTGGTCCATGCCTCTGCGGCCTGGGCTTCTACTGGGTCAAAATATTCCCGATATCCCTGAAATGACGTTTATTACACCTCATAAATCTATCATGTTGCAAATTTTGCATTTACCTCCCCCTAGTAAATTCAAAACCTTTTTAGTCAATAAACAGAGTTGTTGACTAAAAAGGTTTTGAATTTACTAGGGGGAGGTAAATTTTGCATTTACCTCCCCCTAGTAAATTCAAAATTTACAACATGATAAATCATTAATTTTTACAGAAAGCACATGTAATTATTGTTTACTTTTTTAATTTAAATTTGTACATATAAGGATGCCAAAGTGGAATCATAAAAATATATACATGTATATATACATATATTAGGAAGAAAGATGCCAGTTTCATTTTGTAAGAGAAACTGAAGAGCTTGACACCTAGTCATTTCCGCAGGTCAGCTTCATTTTAAAATATCATATACATGTATATTTGATTTCATTTTACCAGATACATGTATTTGCAAGGAATGAAATGATTCACAGATACATGTGATGTTCCCTACTTACATATTTATCTGTGTATTGGTTGATGGCTTTGGCGCTAGGTTTGCCAATATATTTGTCCCTGATGGCCCACCGTTGTGCTTGTTCCTCAAAGGGTACACTTGCATCAACTTTAAAGTTAGAAAAAGATGGGAATATAATGAATACATATATTCATCTTAATGACAGTTAAATTATTTTCGTAGTTTCTGGAAATATTAAACAAATAAGGGGGTTTTATTTAGACAGGGCTAAGGTGGGAGAGTGGGGGTTCTTGCAAAGAAGAAAATTTATCCCCCCCCCCCCCCCCCCACACACACACAAAGATACAGAACATCTACTTAATTTTTTTTCTCTCATAAAATTACTACTATAATGTTTTCCTACCTTGATACACAGGTTTGTTGATAGTTGTATCAGCATTGTGGTACCCAGGTATATAATGAAGACGATTTGTAAGGAAGACTCTGTGAAAATGAATACATCACTTATTATAAAAGTAGGTTACCCAATCTGTTTATCCCTAACTCTTTCCTGTCCTTTTCACAAATAACTTGAAGAAAAAAGTTCAAATTGACCTGATGGAACATTTTTTACTAGCTAATGATGCAGGTAAGACAATGTGATATACCCGTATATATATTTTTTGTCATGTACTTATTATATAGTGATAGGTGCTTGAACATGCCCCCTCCCAAGACCCAGTAGCCCCTTTTCACAAAAAATCTTAAAACTATGATTAAAATTTGACAATGCTGTAATTTCTTATATCTATAAAGAAAATATTTTTTCTGAAGGATTATTCACAAAATATTGTAATGTAAATGTATTAGAAATATAAGATTTTTTGTGATCTAGTATAATTTAGATACTTTTTGGAGAATTTAATTTTTTTTTTTTTTAATTTTTCATGAAAAGGTCAAGACGACTGGCCTTTTTGTCATAATTATGACATATTTTTGATCCAAATCATTCTATCAGCATGTAAAAGGAAAGGTGAAAGATGCGATGAACAAGAACAGGATTCGAACTTGAGCATCCTGAATCACTAGTCAGGTGCTCTAATAACTAAGCTATCTGGCCAAAGGCGATTGAACCTGGCTGACCGCCACATTTCTCTGTCCTTAAAGGTCTTGGCCCCCTCGAAGACACTCCAACACCAAATCAGGCTCTTTCCTGGCAGGTCTTTCACCTGTCACTTCCTTCCAGGGCATGACAGGGTACCAAATGTAACAGGGGAGGAGAAAAATGTGATAGACCAGACCAGGATTCTAACCCATGTCCTTTGAATCACTAGTCAGGTACTCCAGCAACTGATTTATCCCGGCTGATATCCACGGCCAAAACCGTTACACTCCTCCGTCTGTGAACTTAGTATTGAAAGATTTTGCAAACGATATTCAGAATATTAATTAAACAGATTTACATGCATGTAGTGTGATGTACGCACAATGACAATGCATGTTTATCCCCCCTTCTTTGATTTAATTTACCTGATAATCAAGTGATGTAGGAAAATAAATGTTTATTTGCATATGGTTTAAATTTGACTTACAAAGGTGGATGGGGTTTATTTTTCCTCGTAGGGGAAGTGGGTCTCGACGGGGTAGGTTGATCGAGATATTTGGGCTTGAATTGGAAGTCATAGGTTGTTGCTGATCTGTCCAACCCCATCCATTGATTCTTTGCTTGGTTTTTGATGCGAAGAAGTTCATTTCTATCCGGTGCCGGAACATTTAGGACTGCGTATTCCTTTATCTTAGTCTTGTCCAAAGGATAAGCCGATTTGGCCCTTCTAAGGTAAGTTACGGGTTGCCCATATCCGGGCAGTACATGGCCCGTTGGCATAATTTAAGAGTTCTGTCTATATACTTGCCATTCCATCTACTTCAACGATAAGGATTATATAAACAAAGATGCTTTCATCTGCTCATGTAAATGCACTCCTTTTTGTTTATGTGCACTAAGCAACAGGCACCGACCGGAAGTGAAAAACTTGCAAAACCAAACAAATTTCAAAACGAGGCGTTAACATTTCCGGTTGTCACTACCCCTCCTTCAAAAGACAATTTCCTTTTCAAAAGTATGTTTTCAATTTTACAGTTCACATATTATCACAACTTCATTAAAGTTTTAAACATTTTGATTTATAGAACTACTAATGTAACCATGTTTAACAAAATTAGAACTTTTATGGGCATAGTATATTTTTGAATTCAGAGAAAATTCGAACTAATAATAAAACCACTCGTTTCTAGACTATGTTTGAAAAGACGACCTATGATCAGATACATAAAAACTGATTTTTATGTCTCTGCTATGATTTATAAGGATATTATGACTTTAAGGTTCAGTAGTCTAGACGTCAATACATATTGATATTCGTATAATATGTGAAAAATGCAAAATACATTACAGAGACAGAATCAATTTGTTTTTTAAGCATTATTTAACCATGTTAACAGTTTAACAAGGAGCTCTTTAGAAATATTTATTTAGCTAGTTTAAATACTGACACTGTCACTACCAAATTGAACAACATTTAATCACATCAATAATTTGCATTTCCATTTTGTAAAATTTTGGACATAACAATAGCAGCATATGTTATTTTTTAGCCTGTGTTTTCAAGGCCTATTTCCTGTCTTCCTAATTCTTTTATCTCACTGAGGTAATTTCTATTGCTATTTTATGATTAACAATCATGTATAATTCAATAAGTAAATTATTCATGATGATGATGATTGACAGAATGGATGTGTTTGATAACCATTCTCCCTCTGTATTTTGTAGATTCATCATGAAAAATTCCCCAGTTAAGACATGAAAAACGACTGAAACTTATTCCTGGTTTCAAAAGGTGGTATGATTGCATAATGACTGCCATTAAGCACACTCTAAACAGGGATGTATTTTTGCCAAATGATGAGCGCCTCATTGGGTTTGTGCATGTTACCAAAGTTGGGCGGAAGAAGAAAACAAGTTTTTTGTGTGCTGCTTGTAAGTTGAGATACAAAATTTGGTCAGGAGTTAAATTGTATTTTAAAATGTTGAATAATTATTTTTTAACATGTTCATTTACATGATATAAATGCTAAAGTATGCATTAAAACTTAAAAGTCAGTTTTAAAGTACTATTTAAATGAGAACTTTAATTAAAATACCAGTGAGTACAGAGACTCCAGTGCAGGCTCGGGTATACCAGGTCAAAAAGGCTGACAAAACAGAGGCATACAAAAAGAAAGTCACATGGCTGCTCAGAGAATTGAAAGTGGTGGATGGAAAGAGTTCCAGCAAGGTAAGAATTATAGTTAGAATAATCTAACTGTGTCTCGGGACGAGCCCTCACCACAGTTAAACCAGGTCTGTAGGACAATATCATCTTAACGATGGAATGTTCTATCTAAGTAGGCACATACATGTACAATGGATATTTGATATAGATGTAGTATACATATACTCTTAAAAAATTTGCCCCATAATGCATTTGTCAGTGTATCAGAGCTAATATGATACAAGTAATAGTTTTCCTATAAACAAACCTCAAGTTCTGGACTGAAAATCCAGAACAATTAAATCCAGAATAAACTTTGAAAGGTTTAATTAAAAAAATCTGTTAGTTCTGTGAAGAATTCATATATTAGAAATGAATGACATATCAGGAATTCTCAGTCTTAAAATTAAGGTCTAGTAGTTAGAGCATGCTCAAACATACTGTAGATTTCAAAACTGAGTTGATCATGCATGAATAAAGTTATATGCAGTATCAGCAAATTTCATATCATTCACAACTCTTACGCTGGTTATAAAATGTATTTCACATTTTTTTAAATTAAGTTCATATGAGTATTGAATGTTTAAACAAAGCTTGTGTGCATTCAAAAAAGCATCATGGTAATATAAAGCAGTGTACTGTGAAATCACTAATTTTGGGGATTTAACTTTTGTTGTTTTCAAGGTATGAAGAGTCCCACGAATTCATGTCCACCACAAAATGTAATTGCTCACAAATGTTACTACTCAACAATTCTTCATCCACAAAATCATATTCCCACAAACCATTTTTCTCTCAAACCACGAAAATTTGACCCCACAAGAATATGTGATTTTACAGTATAGTTGTCATTTTTGTGTAATAACTCCTTCCCCTTTTTTCCCCATCTCAACACCCCCTATTTCTAAGATGAGTCATCACAAAAATGTCATTGAACAAACTTATCTTGCAACTCTAGACTGAATCTGGTATTATTTGATAGTATGACATTGATAGCATATTGTGAAAGGGAGATAAATCTTTGATAGATAACATCTGTCTGTGTTATGGTTTTTATAATTATTTATTTATTTATTTATTTTTTTGTAAACTATTAAATTTTCTCAACTGTTATTTAGACTAAAGAATTGGCTGTTGTCATAATTTTTACCTTTGTTTAATGGCGAATAAACATGAAGATAATTATTTATGGGATTAAAATATCAAATACTTACTCTGAAAAAAGTTTCTTTTTTGTCTAATCTTAGAAGTACAAACTTTAATTTAGGAAATAAAATCAATGCTTTGTGCTGTGTCAACTTGCAAGGTCCAGAAAAGGCTTTTTTGTGAACAGGGTTTTTAAACTTTCTGAAGATATAGTTTGAAAGATGTTTCAATTTATTTTTTTTTCTGATTTCAGGAAACAGCAGAGTTTGACCTTCATTTTGAGAAAGTATATAAGTGGGTTGCAAGCAGTGTCAATGATAAAGAGACTTTCATAGCTTGTCTCTGGAAGGTACTCTAAAAGTGGAAAACATTGTAGTGGTTTTAATTTAAATATGTTCGCCATCAAAAAAAATTCTGTGAACATGAAGCCACCATGAAAACTGTCAATAAATCAATGTAGCATTCATATATCTATACACTTTAAAATACTGTTTTACTGTTTGGTAATTATTATATTGTAACTCATTGAAAATTGAGATTCTCTGTATTATTCTCTGCTGAAATACACATGAAACACAGAAGTATTTTTCTTTTCATAAAGCAGTGTATTTTTTCCAGCTAAGTCAAAGGTACCTGATTCAGAAGCCAGATTTCCTGAATGTACCGCGGCATTTACTGGAAGGTAAGTTGTATTCACACTAATCTACTTTAAAAAAAATGATGAAACATGTATATCACAGTAACATATCAAGTAATCATTTTTTATCATAAATCTCCATATTGCTGTTATAATTTTTTTTGGACAAGAAATGAAAGTAAATGTTTCATCATCAAAGCCTTGTTATATTTATTTTCTAAATATCCCATATCACACTGTAGAGGTGAGCAGGCCTACTGGGGCCATACAGACCACTCAGCAGGAAGATGACATTGTTACTATGGAAGATGATTACCAGGCCTTGACCCCTAAAGAAGAGTCTGACCTTGATCAGCTGATGTCAGAGTGTAAAATCGCCATCAGTAATGCTGAACTTTTTGCAGAACAGCTCTCCAAGCAGCTGTCAGTTCTAGATGGGGTGTGTTTGTATTTATTTGAAGCTTCCTATATGTGAAATAAAGTAAAGCTATTAAAAGTAATTCACAGATGCTCATACTTATCAGTATATAATACTTTTGCCAGTACATGCAGTGTATGAAATTCCAAATAGCAGTTCAATATTTAGCATTTTCAAATAAGAAGAAACTTATTGTTGTTATTTAACATTTAATGTTTTGGGGTTCTTTTTCCTATGCATGGCCACAATATTGGAATCAGAGTTATACTATTTTTATTATATCTCTCAGTCTTTTGTATCTGAATGCAGTATTAAACCTTGATCAAAACTCTCTCCCCCACAAGGACTTCACATTAAACTTGTATGCTCCACTTCTTTGTAATTGCAGCCATACCATATAAGCAGAATTTTTAGCAACGATTCAATTTTGGCATTATTAGGGAGGGTTTTGAGAAAGCTAAAATTGAATATTTGCTTACAATTTATTCCTTATAGGTTGTTATAACTATCTTTCTTGATATTATGAAATCGGTAAAATTACTTCTTGCTAAAAATATATACCAATCTTTGGGGATAAATCGCTAAATTTGCATCTCGCTATAAATTCCACTTATACAATACTTACTTATCAGAGGTCAACATAAACTTTACTTCGATGGAGTTTGCACCTGCAATCAAAATGTTTTTTTTCCTACAGTTGGACATGTATGTTCATGTTAGAGTAATGTGGAATTAATGTGTAACATATTTTGTACATTTCAGGCCAATATCCACTCTATAATGGGTTCTGAAGACCAGGTACTAAACCTAATGAGACTTTTGGATGATGGCATTCAGTCTGCAGAAAAAATTGAAGATAAACTGGAATTTTATGACAGTATTTTACAGGCAGGTGGAACAGAATTATTCTTGGATTATGATTTTTTTTATAGTGAAGTTCCCCACCAAGGTATTTTTGACTTGTCAATGGATACCTAGGTAGTAGCTACTGTACCCAATCATCATACTTATGCATGAGAAAGAGTTTTAAAGAGATATTATATGGTGTTGTTTTGAAATATTATTTTGTATTGTTTCTAAAAAGCTGAAATATTAAATGAAACTACTCTTTTATAATTACTGGAATTGAAAAGTTTATGAAAGTAATCTTTAAAAAAAATTCATTTCCCAGGATTTCCAAGTAAACTTGCTTAGTTAATGGTTAATATTTATAGAATGTAAAAGATCAGATGGAAGTGATGAAGGAGAAGGATGCTCTGATTAAAACCAGAAACAAAAACCACCAGCAGCTACTGGAGGAATTAGACAGTTTAGTGGTGAGTAAATCAAGAATTAGACAGTTTAGTGGTGAGTAAATCAAGAATTAGACAGTTTAGTGGTGAGTAAATCAAGAATTAGACAGTTTAGTGGTGAGTAAATCAAGAATTAGACAGTTTAGTGGTGAGTAAATCAAGAAATAGGCAGTCTAGCTTGTGATGCCTAAAGCAGAGATTAGACGCTTTAGTGGTTAGTAAATCAAGAAATAGACAGTCTAGCTAATGGTATGTAAAACAGGAATCAGACAGTTAGTGGTGGGTAAAAGCAAGCATTAAGCAGTTTGGCAGTGGGTATAGTACACATTAGTTCATTGGTTGGTAAAGCATGAATTAGACAGTTTGGCAGTGGGTAAAGCAGGGATTAGACAGCTTAGTTGTGGGTTAAGTAGGAATTAGACAGTTAAGTGATGGGAAAAGCAGGAATAAGACAGCTTAGTTGTGGGTTAAATAGGAATTAGACAGTTAGTGGTGGTAAAGCAGGAATTAGACAGCTTAGTTGTGGGTTAAGTAGGAATTAGACAGTTCAGTGGTGGGTAAAACAGGAATTAGACAGTTTAGTGTTGGGTAAAGTAGGAATTAGACAGTTAGTGGTGGGTAAAGCAGGAATAAGACAGCTTAGTTGTGGGTTAAGTAGGAATTAGACAGTTCAGTGGTGGGTAAAACAGGAATAAGATAGTTTAGTGTTGGGTAAAGTAGGAATTAGACAGTTAGTGGTGGGTAAAGCAGGAATTAGACAGTTTAGTGGTGTGGTGGTAAAACAGGAATTAGACAGCTAAGTTGTTGGTTAAGTAGGAATTAGACAGTTCAGTGGTGGGTAAAAGAGAATTAGACAGTTTAGTGGCGAGTGAAGCAGGAATTAGACAGTTTAGTAGTAGGTAAAGTAGGAGTTTAGTGGTAGATAGAGGGTGAATTAGACAGTTTAGTGGTGAGTAAAGCAGGAATTAGACAGTTTATTGGTGGGTAAAGCAGGAATTAGACAGTTTAGTGGTTGATAAGATAAGAACTTGACAGTTCAGTGGTGGGTAAAGCAAGAACTGAATAGTTGAGCTGTGGGTAAAACAAAAATCATACAATGTAGTGATGGGTAAGAGAAAAGTCATGTCATCAGATTTCTAACCCTTAAATTTTTTTTTTGCCAAAAATTAAGTGAATGTACATCTTTGTTGATAGAAACAACTGGATTTAGACACAAAATACTTAAAAGCCTTGCAGGATGGAGACCTGAATACACCTGGTGGTATCTACGAGTGTACCACTGCAGCCCACACCTTACAGAGATGTCTTAATGTAGACATCCATCCAGGTATCAAACTTTTGATTTTTTCCAGTTTCCTGATATTTTAGTGTAAATCTGTTTTGTCTATTTACTTATAGATTATGTACTGTTGCTATTTTTAGCATTGAATCAAATGGCTGCACTGGAGGAACAGCAAAGAAAATTCTCAAAATTTTCAGATAAATTTGGCAAGAGATTGGCTCATCACCTTAACAACTTGTTCATACATCAGGTATTTTTTCCTCCCAACTATCCAATTTAAATAAAAAAGGGGAGAATATTTGTTAGATAAGTTAATGAATGTAAAATATTTTTGAAATGATTCAAAAATGTATATAAAGATAGCAGTATAAAGATGCATCAGATACTAGAATTCCTAATTTTTATTTTAAATCAATTTCAGAGAATGAAATACTGTTATTTCATAAACTACAGATCATTCAGGTTTACAGTATAAAATAATTTTCTGAAATTCCAGGGCAATGAACATGGAGAGACCCTCAGTCGTCAGGCCCCGGACTTTAAGCTTCCTCAGCACAACTCCGCTCACCGAGACCTCACTCCGTATGCTGACCTCATGCTGTGGCTGAAAAACTCCGATTTCGATAGCTTTACACAGCTCTCTAAGGTATTACACGTACCCTATCTATGGTGAATGCTATATGTTGATTGTATTATATTTAAGTAGTATTTGCTCTTTGAAACAACACTAGTTTCCATTTACTATTTTACATGCATAGGGTACTAGTGTACTGTGGAATTTGAATCTTTTCAGCCCAGATCATTTACTATAAATATGCTTATTAAAATTCTGTGTTTTTAATGATATTGCAGGTTTACACTCAGAGTTTGAGTAAGCTGTATAATAAAGAGATACAAGACTTTCTGGAAATGGCCAAGCAGAAATTAGGAAGCAAACCAGATAAAAACAGATTAGGTATAATACAATTGACTGACTCAACACATTATTTAATATTAATAGATCTTCTTACATACTGTAAACCACTTTTTATTTGTGAGAACTTTATTTTTGCATAATTACATGAGACTATCTTCTCTCAAAAATTTCATTCTGGCATATGTTTGTATTCTGAAAGATTATATATAACAGTTAACATAATTCATAAAAATGTTGTCTAGCTTATAAATACCAAATAACTAGCCCACGAAAATAAGGTGTTGCAGAAATCTGGTGCTTTACAGTAATCAGGTGTACTTGAAAATTTTTATATAAATGTCACCTATTTAATGTTTATGACATGTCTTCTCCTCAATAACTCTTGGTCTGTCATGCTATCAGAGTTCAATCTTTTTTTTAAACATGGTTGAACTGTATTGATGTCATTTGACCAATGAAGAATAGATTCTCAAAGTTGGCAAGTCTTGACAATCTGAATTTTTGATGCCTTTAAAGGGGCATAGACACATGCAGATTTGAAGTTAAAATTTTCTCAAATTTTCTGTATTATATCATGACTTATATGTTGCTATAGCATTTCATACAGAAATATAATAAAAAACTTATTTTATCTGGAAATTATTGAAACTACAAATTTCAGGACATGTTTGATTGACACATCCTTGCACTTTCACAAAGTAAACTTTTTCCTTAATACTTAAGAAAAGTAGAAATTTTGTTGTGTATTAATGAAAAAAATTAAAGATATAATTAAAGAAAATTCAGAGTAGAGATGTGGGAAAGCAAAACCAACTCACCAGTATTGTCAGTCCTGCTCAGTGATATGTGCAGAGTTTAACATTTTGTCCCATTTAAAGTTCGCCCAGTCACAGTTCTGTTTAAGAAATTATACTGTCTTCTTTGAATTTGCCCTGTCTTAAATTCGCCCACTTGTGTCTAGGGCTAAAGGGGCGAAAATAAAACGGAGGCAAAAATTTCCCTAAATAAAGTAAGCATTACAATTTCCAGGTGTTGGTTTGACCAGCCAAGCAAGAGCCCTCTCTGGTTCATCCTCCAGTCTGAACCGGAAAATGTCTGGTTCAGTACAAAGTCTCAATTCTGACAGTACCTCAATGCATGGATCCAGTCATGACTTAGCTATGAGACATTTATTTGACCAGGTAAAAGCATGATTCATTAAGTGCGATTGTCAGTTCATTTAATTTACCGGATTAGTCATAGTTATCATTTTCACTATGTCCTTAAAAATAAATTCATTAGATGTATTTTTTAAATGATTTTCTTGTCTAGGTCATTGATAAAATCCTCAGTGAACTGGAACCAGTTTGTCTATCAGAACAGGATTTTTGTGTGCGATTCTTCCATCTTGCTGGGGACATGCCTGCCACAAAAGAACCCAAGCAGGTAACATTTGAACAATGAAAACCTTGCAAGGGATGATTTAAAAAAAAATGCATGTAATTAAAAATTTATGAATGTCCATTGTAAACACTTAATTGTGCGAGTTCATTAATTTCTAAAAAAAAGATTTTCAAGGATACCCAGTTTCAACAGTCAGAGGCTCAACTGTTATGTCTCTTATTATACATTCAGTCACATGATACTGTAGGCAATTTTCAGTTGTCTAGTTGGAAAAAAAAAATAAATAGCAAATCAATGTAGCCTATGGACAATAAAATTAATATTTGGATTTTTTTTAATCAGAATCAATTAGCCGCTGTAAGTGAGAAATGTCATCTTGTTCAATTATCAGGAAGAAGAATCGGAGGATATTTGGAAACCTATTCAGCCTGCGGCACCACCAGTGGAGTAAGTTAAACACCAATAAGGAACCAAAAACAAACAAACAAAAAGTGTTTCTTATTTATTAATATTGAATTTCTCATCTATTTTACAAAATACAAGTATTTTCTACCTCAGAGTTTTGCAATATCATTTAATCAAGTGAAATTCTAAAAATTTGTGTGTTGCTACATATATTTCAATCATACACTGATGTAAGATTAATAACATTACACAGTATTCTGTTTCTGACAAGTTTCTACAGCACATGACTATTTTAGGGAGTTCTATGAGGAAAATTTAGGTGGTGGCCTTAAGATACAGAGGCGCCGCGCCAAATCCAAGCTGTAAGTGGGGTCCGCCCTGCCCTACCCTGCCTGCCTTTATGCTTGATATCCACCACATGTCACATATGTATTTATTTGCCTTGCCTTGTATTGAGTTATTTGATGCTGATGATATTTAAAATTTTGATGTTGCAATGGATTTGGATTTGCAGGAACGATTTGTCTCAACAACTTGCTGTTAAAGAGTGCATTATTTTTAAACCTGGAAAGAAAAACATTCATCAGGTTGAACATTGAAAGATCAAATGCATGTTCATACTGATATGAAATAGAATGTATCAGTGTTGAGACAAGGTCATGTGATCATATCTACATATATGTTGTTGCCATGGGGATTTGAAATATCTGTTGTTGATTGATTGGATGCAGACTTGTTTGTTATGTTTGTGATTTCCCAGTCAGAGGTACTGAGAGGGTTAGAGGTTAAGTTTATTAATATTATATTAAGTTTCAGGTTTTTGCCAAGTACAGTCTGATTGCACAACTTTATGAGAGTATGACCTACATATATTATTGTGATTTGGGTTATTTTCATTATGTACACATAAAATGAATGCTCAGTGGTTGTTAGTCTGTACATAATTTTCTATGATATTGTTGTGAGTATGTCTTTTTTACTAAGTTGCACTCTTTTGTCTTGTAAGAGGTAGAATGTTATTGTTCCATATGAGATATGCAGTTATGGCAAGTTTCATATACTATGATATTATATATTTTGCTTTTGTTATCGGACATGCAACTTATAATTTTTAAAATCTATCTGTGTATTCAGATATAGGTAATAGGGAAAAAATTGACCACAGAGAAAAATAAACTAATGGTTACAATTCAGATTTAAAAGGTTAAATCTATTAATAGTCAAGTTCACTGTTTTTAAAGCCAGTACCAATGAAAAGTATAGTAGACTGAAATAGTGGTTTAGATGATGTGCATTGTCCAAGCATGCAACACCTGGTGGCCCAAAATCAAACAACTTGAATTTTCTGTCAGAGTGAAAAAAGAAATGTATCATACATTATATTGCTGCACATGCAGACACTTTTTTAATCCTTTCATTCTCATTGGAAATTCAGGAGGGTATAGTTTTTGGTTTGTCTATCTGTCAGTCTGTTTGTCATTTAATCAGCAAAAACTTTTAACCTTGCACATTTCTTTTGAACAGTTGTTGCTAGGGCTTTCATATTTCAAAGGTGTATTCCTTGTGACAAGATCTTTCTTTGAGTATCAACATTTTTACCTTACAACCTTGACCTTGGAGATTTACATACTTTTGAAAAAACTTTGACCAAACCTTAACCTTGGCTATAACTTCTGAATGGTTCATGCTAGACTCTCATATTTCACATATGTATTCTTGTGACAAGATCTTTCTTTGGGTACCATGATTTTAGATATCATGACCTTGACCTCAGAGTTTGACCTACTTTTGAAAAATTAATCCTTGGGTATAATTTCTTAACTAATGGTGCTTTTCCACATCTGTATTTCATGTGAAAAGAACTTTTTTGGGTGCCTGCATTGTTTACTTTAAGACCTTTACCTTGGTGTTTGACCTTTTTTTGAAAAAAAAAACTTTTACCTTGGCCATAATTTGTGAACAGTTGGTGCTAGGGCTTTTATATTTCATCTGTGTATTCCTTTTGACAAGAAATTTCTTTGGGTGCCATTATTTTTTACCTCATAACCTTGACCTTTGAGTTTGACCTACTTTTGAAAAACTTTCTCCTTTTCTATGAGCTGCCATAGAGGGGCATCAGTGTTTCACATTCTCTTCTTTTAGATATAGACACATTTATAATTATAGAACCACAATTTTTTCCCCTCATTCCCACAAGTCAATAAGTATCCAGAATAATCCGATTCAAAGTATCCCTACACTCTCCCTCAGTCAAAAGTAGTGTCAGCTAGGTACATTTACAATAAACATGATTGCATGGTGTACATCAAAGATTTAACACTTGATATAACCATTGATCCTGCCATGAATTTTCTTTACATCTTAAAAAAATAAGAAAAGAGATTATTTCTAAGATGAATTTTCATTCTGTTTGAAATATTTTTAGTTACCATCTAGATTTCAGATTCCGATAGAATTTTGCGTATTTGTATGGAAATTGCACACCAAATGTTAACAATTGTCTTCTTAAAAATTCTAGTCTTTACACTGCTTCTTTATCTACCACAGTGAAATAAAATGATCTTATTTTTAGCTCACCTGAGCTTAAAGCTCAAGTGAGCTTTTCTGATTGCATTTTGTCTGTAGTCCATCTGTCTGTCTGTCATCTGTAAATTTTTCTCATTTTCGACTTCTTCTCCAGAACCACTCTGGACCAATTTCAACCAAACTTGCCACAAAGCATCCTTGGGTGAAGGGGATTCAAGTTTGTTCAAATGAAGGGCCACACCCTTTTTAAGGGGCGATAATTCAGAAATAGTGAAAATTTAGTGGTATCTTTTAAAAATCATCTTCTCAAGAACCACTGGGCCAGAGTTGAAAGTTATAGAAAATCTTTTTTACATAGTATAAATTCAAGTTTGTTCAAATGATGACCCCCTGGAGTAGGGTGCCTTGTGTTTTTCCTGGTCTCCCTCAAAAAGGACATGGTTCTGTAAGCCCTATTATTGATATGGATTTCACATTTTTCCTAGCAAATGTGCTCAGGTGAGCGATGTAGCCCATGGGCCTCTTGTTGACAAAGGTAGGTTAGTTGATGAATTGATAGTGTATTCTCTCCTCAATGAAAAAAAACCCCACACATGCACACAAATTAACTTGTAAGATAATATGTTAACAAGTGTTTATTGTATATACCCAATTGCAAAAATATACAATGATATATCGAAGCAAGTGACATTACAGTGAATATTAGGCTGAAACAAAACATTAACCTTTTATTGAAAATTCACCTATTGTAAGTCAACTGTTGCAAAAATTTTCAAAGACAAATTTAATAGTATGCATTTTATTTATTGCAGAACCAATTTATAAACAAATTATGTTTGCGGCAAACCTCATTTCATTTTGATGAACACTGTTTATAGTGTGTTTTTATTGTATTCAAAATAGAGTTGATCCCCTACCCCCATATATCTATCAAAATTACAGAAAAATATGTAATTATCTATTAAATAAACTGTTTAGGAAACTGTATGCACACATTTTTAAAGCATTATATATATGTAAACCTTTTTAAATGATAGAAATTTTGGGTTTTTGCATTGTAAGAAAGTACAGAAACGACCAATGTATTGCTATTGGACAGAAAAGAGAAAGAAAATATATTGAAAGCATGTGATATTGTTTGTGAACATTGCATGACATCTGATTGCACTGCAGACGACACAATAATTTTTTTTGCTTTCTGTGTGAATAAAAAATTAGTTTTAAGCATAAAAACCTTGAAAATGCAAAAAATATTTCAACTGAGTATGTAAAGTCATATAATTATAAATGGTATATAAGTAACATTTATGGAACTAATTGTTTGTATGTCCGTGATTGACAGGAGACACATGAATGAGGAAGTCAGAAGGATGATGGGAGAATTGTTTCCAAATCTGGAATCAGAGCTAGAGGCTTTTGTGTCTTATGCAGATAGACTGGATGGGTTGTAAGTACAGAAAATCTAAGTCACTTGGACCATATCTTGCTATTAATTTTCACTGTTGTTATACATCCACTGACCTCTGTGATACTCAGGTGATCACTAAGGTCCACATGTTTCAAGTTTTTTTCCAGGGTTAAAATTTTTACTTTTATGCTAGATTACTAAAACAATGAAATATATCTGAAAGAGAGAGAAGAAGAAAAAAAAAAACAAAAAATCTTGAATGTATGAGTTTGAAGGTTAATAATATGAAATTTTCTTTGCAAAACTTACCATAAATTCAAATTGTAAGTGTGAAGAAAATGCTAACTGTGAATATTTACAGGGGGGTTGTTGTTGTTGTTGTTAGATGTGCTATGTGGTGCATGTTTACCCATTTATATCAATACTATCATCATAAAGTAAAGGGTTATGTTAGGTAGTGAGCCATTAAGCCCTGTGAATATTTTCAAATCATTGTTTAAGGAATATACGTAATACTGTAAAACTGTGTGTAAAGTCTCTGGTTTTATTTCTATCTTTAGTAACTCTGGTTTTATTTCTATCTTTAGTAACTCTATGTACATGTTGGTAAGAATGAGTCAGCATGTAAATAAATCCCAGGATGCCGGCTCCTTCCTCAGTGTAATGTACGCCAGCTGCCTCGTCAAGATCAAAAGAAACTTCGACAAGTTCATTGTATGTACACAGAAAGAATGCATACCTAGATAATGTGTAAAGACATCATAATGATAAGGAACTGACATTTCAATAATACATTTTTAAAATTTTTTTCTTGGAAGGTGGGATGGGGTGTTTTTGTTGAAAATTAATGCAAGTTAGTTGTAATTTCAGTCAAACCAGATAAAGACCATTCAAGACTTTAAAGTTTCCAAAAAGAGCCGATGTGGAATTATAGCATTTGTCCACAACTTTGAGGTAGAGTCAAAATTTACTCTGAAGGCAAACGGTGCCTTAGAAATATAAACTATTTAGATTTATAGATAAAAATATCAATGATCTGAATCATATTCATGTCTTGTATTTATTCTTTTAAACAGCAGTGAGCATATTAAATACAGAAATAATGATAAAAAAAAATGTCATGAGTTTTGCAATTTAATTTATGTCTGCTATATTCATTTTTTTCTGTTGACAGGAATTTGCAAACCAAGCTGAGAATATTTTTAAGAATTCAGACAGACACACCCATTTGGATAAGTCCTATAAAACATTGGTAGCTGTCATCTATGAACAAATAGCCAGAGTGGCCAATGAGAGTCAGAAAACACCAAAGGAGGTTGTTATGATGGGTAAGAATGACTTCTGATTAAAAACATGAATTCATTTTGTTAGACTCAAAATATTTCTTTGTTATATGTACCAGTAGAAGAAAATTGAGTATAAATACATTTTTATTTACATTTTCTCTTTATTTTTCAGAGAATTTCCATCATATGTATTGTGAGTAATATATTTTTCAGTCTTTTTTTCTCAATTATTTTAAACTGGTTAAGCACAGAGAAGTTACCTTTCTGAGTATGTGTGATTATGTATGAACAAAGAAATCAAGTATTTCTAAACAAGCATTTAATTTGGGGGGTGTGGGGGTGTGGATGAGTAATTGATGCTTTTAGAAGTACATGATTTTTAAATACTTTGTTCAAAAATATTGGAAGGAGCCAAAAGTCTGATTGTATAATCCTTTGCCACATACATGTAGAACAAATCGTCAATTTGTAATATATGTAGTCTGACTTACCTTTAAACAATTTTTTCTATTTAAATCTATACTAAAAAAAATCTAGATCTAAAATGTCCAATGGTACATGTATTGACTGAGCAATCCAAAAATATGAATTTGGACTGGTCAGTGATATGACATTTTTTACATCACACCTAATTGTATTCATTTAATGCCTTATTTATTTGTAGCCACACTTTCCAGTCTAAAGATCCCATGTCTGGAGTCTGATAGAAAAGAGGCTAAACAGATCTATCAAGACAACTTGAATAGTTACACTTTAAATCTTCTGGGTAGACCCCTAGAAAAACTACATGTAAGCTCAAATTCATATTGTATTTTTAGGTCACCTGAGTCACTCAGGTGATCTATTGCTATCTGTTTTCATCCTTCGTGCTGCGGGTGTGCTGGTGTGCATCAAGTGTAAACTTTTCACATTTTCGACTTCTTTTCAAGAACCACTGGGCCAATTTCCTCCAAACTTGCCACAAACTATCCTTTGGTAAAGATGATTCAAGTTTGTTCAAATGAAGGGCCCCACCTTCTTCCAAGGGGAGATAATTAAGAATTAGTGAAAAATTAAAGGTATCTTTTAAAATTCTTCTTCTCAAGAACCACTAGACCAGGTAAGATGAAACTTAAATGGAAACATCATCAGGTAGTGTAGACTCAAATTTGTTAAAATCATGACACCCCCCCCCCCTCCCCCCCCCCACACACACACACAGGGGTAGGGCGGGGCCACAATGGACGATCAAAGTTTTACATAGAAATATATACCGTATAGGAAAAATCTTTTAAAATCTTTTTCTTAGGAACAGCAAAGCCATGATTGGTCATTTATATGGGAGCATCCTCAGGTAGTGTAGATTCAAGTTTGTTCAAATCCTGACCCCCCAAGGTAGGGCGGGGCCACAACGGAGGGTCAAAGTCTTACATAGGAAAATTTCTTCTCGAGAACTGCAAAGCCTTGATTAGTCATTTTGATATGATCGAAATTTTACATAGAAATACATAGAAAAAATCTGTAAAAATTTTCTTCTCCAGAACCACTGGGCCAAGAAAAATGAAACTTATCTGGAAACATCCTCAGGTAGTGTAGATTCATGTTTGTTTAAATCATGACCCCCAGGGGTAGGGCAGGGCCACAATGTATGATCAAAGTTTTTACATTGGAATACATTGGAAAAATCTTCTTCTCCAGAACCACTGGGCCAAGAAAGATGAAATGTGGAAACATCTTCAGGTAGTGTAGATTCAAGTTTGTTAAAACCATGATCCCCAAGGGTAGGGAGGGCCACAATGGACAATGAAAGTTTTACATTGGAATGTGTAGGAAAAATCTTGAAAAATTTTCTTTTCTCAAGAACAGCAAAGCCATGATTGGTTATATTTACATGGAAGCATCCTCAGAAAGTATAGATTCAAGTTTGTTCAAATCATGACTCTGGACTCTGGGGATAGGGTGGGGCCACAATGGATGATCACAGATTTACAAAAGCTCCTTCTATCAGTTTATTTTATACTCCATGGATCTTCTATGGATTGTTGTTTTATACTCAGATGACCGTTAAGGCCCTTGGGCCTCTTGTTAAGAAATGGAGAGGATCAATATTTAATGTTTTATAATTAGATGTGGAATTTATTTCACAAGTGGGTCAGGATTTCTTTTTTATTTTTACAAGTGCGAATCATGAATGGAAATAATAAAAAATCCTACCTCATGACTGAAATAAATTCCATATTCAACAACAATATATTGAATTTGCTGTTTGTTACATTTTCTTTGATTTTCCCTTTAATGCCTCTGTCTTTATGTAACACACTAAACACAGTGTCATTGGATGTGATGTCATAGTTCAGCGGTTGAAAAGTCATTGCTTAGCCATTGCTAGTTCACCTGAGCTGAAGGCTCAGGTGAGCTTTTCTGATCAAAGAGTGTCCTGCATACATCTGTCTGTCTGTTGTGTGTCATGTTGTCTTTAAACTTTTCACATTTTCAACTTCTTCACCAGAACCACTGGGCCAACCAAACTTGCCACAAAGCATTCTTGGGTAAAGAGGATTTATATTTGATCAGAGGAAGTGCCAAGGGCCTCTTTCCAGGACAGATAATTTAGAATTTGTGAAAATTCTGTGTTTTTTTTAAAAATTTTTCTCAAGAACCACTGAGCCAGAAAAGATGCAACTTACGTGAGAGCTTCATTTTATACTGTATGTTCAAATTTGCTCATATCATAACCCCCAGGGGTAAGGCAGGGCTTCATCAGGAGGTCAAAGTTTTACATAGGAATGTATAGAAAAATATCTTTAAAATATCTTTTTCTCAAGAACAGCTAAGCCATTTTTAGTCATATTAATATAGATATGTCTTCAGGTAGTGTAGATTCAGATTTGTTCAAATCATGATCCCCAGGGATAGGGCACAGCCATAACAAGGATCAAATTTAACATAGGACTGTATTGGAAAAAAATCATCTTCTCAAGAACAGCTGAGCCATTATTATTCATATTAATACAGGAGTATCCTCAGTAGGGGTGAAACAATACACCTCCTTCACGGTTCGATACGTATTGTATAATTTTGTCTCGGTTCAGTTAATTTTGATACGATACATTTTGATAGAAGGAAACAAATTCTACGTTGTTTTATGCTTTCTTTTTCTAAATCTAGTCACATATTTTATGAATTTTATTTGCAAATTGACTAGAAGAAATTGATTAAAATTATTTGACTGTCAAAAATTATTTTACAAGCTATCAGTCATCAAAAATTTACGTTTTCTGTACTTATTTATACTAAGTAACGTATTATACCTTATGCCAAACCCGACTGAATAACGATCCCGACCGAAAAATGAACCGAACCGAAAATTAGAGATTTTGCACCGTGTATCAAACCGAGAAAAAATACCGCGGTGCATCGATACTGCGGTGAACCGTTTCACTCCTAATCCTCAGAATGTGTAGATTAAAGTTTGTTTAAATCATGACACTGGAGGGTAGTGCAGGCCACAACAAGAGATCAAAGTTTTACCTAGGAATGTATAGGAAAAATCTTTAAAAAATTGTCTTCTCAAGAACAGCTCAGCCATTATCATTCATATTAAAACAGGAGCATCCTCAGGTTGTGAAGATTCAAGCTTGTTCAAATCATGACCCGGGAAGGGGGAGGGGGGAGCAGGGCAACAACAGGGGATCAAAGTTTTACATAGGAATTTATAGGAAAAATCTTTAAAAAATCTTCTTCTTAAGAAAGGCAAAGCCATGATTAGTCATATTCATGTAGAAGCATCTTCAGGTAGTGTAGACTCAAGTTTGTTCTTAATCATGACCCCTTGGGTAGAGTGGGGCCACAACATAAGAATATGTCGTAAAAAGAATCTGCCGATGAAGAACAGAAGGGCTATAGTTACTCTGGAGAGCATTGTGGCCCATGGGCTTCATACGAGATTGAAAACAGTGTAAACAAGGATTTCAAAAACATCTCTGGAGAAACTTTAGCAGTTTTAGTCTCTGTCAGGGTAGTTAATTACTCTCTCTACCTTATAACGGGCTAGTGAGTATTTTTTACAGCACCCTTTGTGAAGGGCAGGAAAATACTGAGTATTGCTGCACTTCTGATATTCTTTCACACTGTGACAAAATATAACTTTGATATTTTCACACTCTGACAAAATATCACCTTTATTCCATAAAATTTTTTCAGTATTTCACTGTAGAAAATGTAATAAAAATAAATACTAAACAGCAAGAATTCTTTTTTCACACACTATGAACTCCTTGTTGTTAGTTTATATCACATACATGTACCAGTCTTTGTTTGGTCTGTGATCAGATTCAGGAATACATGCATGTATGTACCTGCTTGCAGGTGTTTTTTGAGGGAGTACAGAACCGGGTCGCTACAGGTGTGAAGCCAGAGGAGGTGGGATTTCAGTTGGCGTTTAGTAAACAGGAATTGAGAAAGGTTATCAAAGAGTACCCAGTCAAAGAGGTACAGTGAATGTGTTCAACACTTTGTATTGATGATGTGGAGTTAAATTAATGTGAAAAAATTTATGCCAGTTGCTCTTTCACACCTTGATTTACTGTTTTGATAAGAGAGATAACTTTTAATCCCTTAATAACTATTCCTTCAAAATTTGTCAAGTTAGAAAGTTGATTTTAAATTTTACTCAGCAGATTATGATGAGGCCAACAATAAAAAATAATTTGTTTGATGTACTCTGACTGTGACTAGGGGAAGGAAAACCCCAACAGAAAACCACCGGCCCTCCGGGTCCAGGGGGTTTTGCGCAGGGTTAGCAACCCGCCATGTAAAAAGGCAATTGCTACAGAAATGCATACAAGATTTAATCAAGACTTCTCAAATTCTGGAAGAGAAGGTTCTCCAAAAGGAAGACGAAGGACGCCATGTGGTGAAAACCAGAGACAGAAGGAAACTACAAGGCCGAAAACCCTTCTCGGACCCAGAAATATCAATATAGGAACTTGGAACGTAAGAACCATGTACGAAGCAGGGAAAACAGCGCAAATTGCAGCAGAGATGAGAAATTACAATCTGACACTGCTCGGCATAAGTGAGACAAGATGGATTCAATCAGGACAGTGCAGACTTACTACAGGTGAATTACTCCTCTATTCTGGACATGGAGAAGAAAATTCATCGCACTCTCAAGGAGTGGCACTCATGCTATCCAAAACAGCAAGGGAAGCATTAATAGGCTGGGAAGCACATGGACCAAGGATTATAAGGGCATCTTTTAAAACAAAACATAAACGGATTAGCACAAACATTATCCAGTGCTATGCCACAACAAATGATGCAGAGGAAGAAGCAAAAGATGAGTTCTACAACAGACTTCAAAGTGTTATTGACACCTGTAGAGAAAGAGATGTTACCATCATGATGGGAGACCTTAACGCAAAAATTGGAAATGATAACACCGGATATGGCGAGATAATGGGACAACATGGACTGGGACAAATGAATGAAAATGGTGAAAGATTAGCAAACTTTTGTGCATTTAACAAACTAGTTATTGGTGGCACTTTATTCCAGCACAAAAGAATACACAAAGCCACCTGGGTATCACCAGACCAATTAACTGAAAACCAGATAGATCATATATGCATCAATAAAAAGTTTAGAAGATCTTTGCAGGATACCAGGGTCAAACGAGCACTAGATGTAGCCTTAGATCACCATCTATTGACAGGCAGCATCAAACTGAAGCTCAGAAAAATGAGAACAGAAGGAAACTCTCAGAGAATCAGATATAACACCAGGTTTCTCCAAGATACCCAAATCTTACAGGAGTATAAGATTGCGGTTAAAAACAAATACCAAGCCCTTCAGGAAATAGGGGAAGTAACAACAGTTGAAGACCATTGGAAAGGGATAAAAGAGACCATCACAACAAGCTGCCATGAAATACTTGGAGTGAAAAAGTACCATCATAAAGAGTGGATCACAAATGACACACTTAGGAAAGTACAGGAGAGGAAGGCTAAGAAGGCTGAGGTCAATTCAAGCAGAACAAGAGCTGAAAAAGCAAAAGCACAAAAAGAGTATGCAGAGGCCAACAAGAGAACTAAACAAAGTATTAAAGCTGACAAAAGAAGGTACATGGAGGAACTAGCAACGGAAGCAGAACAAGCTGCAAAAGCAGGAAACATGAAAGACTTGTATGACATCACCAAGAAACTAGCTGGGAAGCGAAGTAAACAAGAAAGGCCAGTGAAAGACAAGGCAAGGAAGCAACTAGAAGGGGAAGAAGAACAAAGAAGGAGATGGAAAGAGCATTTTGAAGAATTGTTGAATAGGCCAGTTCCACCCAACCCTCCTAATATTACACCAGCAGATGAGGACCTAGACATAGACTGGGGACCACCTACTAAGGAGGAAATAAATATAGCTTTAAAACAGATGAGGAATGGGAAGTCAGCAGGGCCTGATAATATCCCGGCCGAGGCACTTAAAGCTGATTTTGACAACTCAGCCGACATACTTCACCCACTTTTTCAAAAAATATGGGAAGTAGAAACAATCCCAGAAGAATGGAAAGAAGGATACCTCATCAAGCTTCCAAAAAAAGGAGACCTCAGCGATTGAGCCAACTATAGGGGAATAACACTGTTAGATGTTCCAGGGAAGGTGTTTAATAGGATCATACTGAACAGAATGAAAGAAGAAGTGGATGATAAGCTACGTGACCAACAAGCTGGATTTCGTAAAAATAGATCTTGTACGGACCAGATAGCAACGTTGCGCATTATCATCGAACAATGTGCTGAATGGAACTCCTCCCTCTATGTAGGCTTCATAGATTACGAGAAAGCCTTTGACAGTGTTGACAGGGAGAAAATATGGAAACTTCTGCGACATTATGGAGTTTCTTGTAAACTGGTAAATATCATCCGCAACTCTTATGAACACCTGACATGCAGGGTCATACATGGAGGACAACTGACGGAACCATTCGAAGTAAAAACAGGAGTTCGTCAGGGATGTCTACTGTCTCCCTTTCTATTTCTTCTTGCAATAGACTGGATAATGAAATCATCCACGGGCAATAGGAGAAATGGAATACAGTGGACACCATGGTCACAGTTAGACGACCTAGACTTTGCGGATGATTTGGCACTCCTATCACATACCCGGGCACAAATGCAGGAGAAAATTACAACTGTGGCAGAAACATCAGCATGGATAGGACTCAACATCAATATTGCAAAAACAAAGATCCTAAGAGCAAACACACCATCACATGCTTCATTAAATATAGAAGGAAAGAAAATAGAGGAAGTAGAACATTTCACCTACCTTGGCAGTAAAGTGGACCAACAAGGAGGAACGGAAACAGACATCAAAGCAAGAATAGGAAAAGCCAGAGTAGCATTCCTGCAACTTGGAAACATCTGGAAGACCAAGGGAATTACAACACGCACCAAAGTTAGGCTTTTTAACAGCAATGTTAAGGCAGTGCTTCTATATGGTTCTGAGACATGGAGGATGACTGTTACCACAACAAACAGGATCCAGACATTTGTCAACTCTTGTCTGAGACGATCCTCCAGATCAGATGGCCCGACAAAATCAGCAACATCAATTTGTGGCAAAGAACAAACCAAGCCCCTATAGAAGAGGAAGTAATGCAGAGAAGGTGGAGGTGGATAGGGCATACTCTACGCAAGCCCAACAATAACATCACAAGGCAAGCCCTATCCTGGAACCCCCAAGGAAAACGTAGGAGAGGTAGGCCAAAGAACACCTGGAGGAGAGATCTAGAGGCAGACATTAAAAGAATGGGCAAGAACTGGAAGGAGGTTGAAAGCACTGCTCAGGATAGAGGGGCCTGGAGGAATCTTGTCTGCGGCCTATGCCCCAAAAGGGGTAGCAGGCATAAGTAACTCTGACTGACTCATCAAAATCGACCCTACCAGATCAATTTTTTTAGTACTTTAAATTCTATATATATTTTTTTATTTCAAGGAAAATACAGAGATTGTCATTATCAATTTTAGCTTTACTGGTCAGAGACCAGAAGAGCTTATGAGATAGCAAGGTGTTTGTTGTCTGTCCATCTGTCTGTCCGTCTTCAAACAACTTTTCAAAATGCTACTCCTCTTACAGTTTTGGTCTGATTTCAGTAAAACTTTGCACACAAGTAGACTACACTAAGATACATAATTCTCTCTGTCTGTTTTTGATTTCTATGAACATTGTTGCTATGGTTACTAAAAATAGAAATTTCTGTGAAATACTTTTCAAAATGCTACTTCTCCTACAGTTTTGGTTTGATTTCAATATGATTTGGCACACAAGTAGACTAAACCAAGGATCATTATTCTATTTATTACTGTTGAAAAGCTCCAAGTGCTACTTTTTCCTTCCTTTGTTATAAGTACAAATAGTAGATGTACAGTCTCGTCAGAGACTTCTGGTTAACTTTAAAGGTTTATCATTTCTCAAAGAAGAATTTTAGATTAAAAGTTTTTACATGAGCAAGTATTAAATCAGTGTAGCTGTCCCATGTATACATTGTAATAAAAACATCAATAAACTGTAAGTCTGTGCTTTTATTGATGAATATAAATGTGTTCTAAGATAATTTAAAAAAAAAAACTACCTATGCACCTTCAGCAATGTGAGTTGGAGTACATCAAAAAATATATATATATATATATATTGATGGTCTGCAAGTGTTCAATTTTTAATTTTAATCAAGATTTCTTTTGGAAAATCATTAAATTAATTAAATTAATTGGATGAACAGAGGGGTGAGAAACCTTAAGCAAGCTGTCAGTAAAGAGGACAGCAAGTTGAAAACAGAGAGAGAGAGAGAGATTTTTATGGAAACCTTTTTATGAAATTTTCTTTCAGGTGAAGAAAGGTTTGGATGGAATCTATAAGAAAACACATAAGGACCTATGTGAAGAAGAAAATTTGCTACAGGTAGTGTGGTTCTCCATGCAGGATGAATTCATCAAACAAATCAAACATTATGAAGATCTGATTAATCAATGTTACCCAGACTCTGGGATCACACTGGAATTCAAGGTGGATGATGTGTTATCTTTCTTCTCAGAAATTGCCCAGAGTCGTTGATTGGTTGTTACTGGATTCTTAAGCATGATCAACAAATGTGACCGCATGGACATTCAATGTAGAAAGTGTTCTGTTTGTATGTGTTTTATGAAGGCAAAATGCATACTTAAATTTAATTGTTTTGTTTAATTCTCCATATTTCAAGATATTAAGAAAAAAAATTGTTTGACTTTATTTCTGCATGAAGATTTTAAGGTGAAAGAGTTGAATTTTATTTTGAGATATTTTAAAAGTTAAACTTTCTGAGTTGGCAGTGAAATGTCACCTTTACCATAATATTGGTAGTAACAGTCATTAAGCCTTACAAATCACCTCCAAATACTGTGAGATATTGATTATCTCCATGCAGGGTAATGTTTTAAACATTTCAGAGTGGAAAAATCAGAGTTTAAGTTAAAGAGTTAGATACTTGAGTAATTATATTAACTGATTGTTTTGCTTTAAGGTAAGGCCCTTAAAACTCTTTCAGAAAGATTTTCATTCCCTCTAGGAATGAAGTTTGGAAGGAGTGGTGTTACTGGGTTAATAATGTCTGTCTGACTGGACATAAATTTTATCTTGCAATTATACTTCAAACTATAAATATATTTTTTTTCAAACTTTGTAGAAATAACACATGGTACATGTATTTGAACATGTGCACCTGGTATTTACAAATTAAACTAGGAACCGAGTTTGCCTTTGATCAGAAGCTATTCCTATTAATTTTGAAATCAAAAGGTCAAAGGTCAAGGTCTATTCTAGGCTATTTAAAGTGTGCCCTTTCTTCAGTTGCCCCTCAAGGGCTATTTCATTGAAACAGTTATTTTTTATGGTAATCAAAAGCTTTGATTGAATTATGCTTAAGTTAAAAACATTTTACATTTAATTTCATCATGTAAAGTTTGTAGTTAAAAAACGTTGTACATTTAATTTCATCATGTAGAGTTTGTACATTTATTTCTTGTAAGTGCAATATTCAGTTACTGAAATGTATTTAAAGAATATGCTTAATTTATTAAATAATAATCTCTAATTCATTTTCAACTGTTTTTTTTATGCCCCTGTTATCAGAGATTTGGGAACATATATTTTTTGGTCTGTTTATCAGCAAAAACTTAAACCATGGCCATAAGTTTGAAGGGTTATTGCTAGGGCTTTCATATTTCACAGGTGTATTCTACAGAAGCGTATTAGTGCCACTTGAACGCTTTTTTATTTTTCATTTTCCACACTTTAATATGTAAATTCTACACTTTAATATGTAAATTTTACACTTTAATCTGTAAATTTTACACTTTAAAGTGTAAATTTAACACATTAATCTGTAAAATTTACACTTTAATCTGTATAATTTACACTTTAATATGTAAATTTTACACATTAATCTGCAAAATTTACACTTTAATCTGTAAAATTTACACAATGTGTAAAAATTTACACTTTAATCTGTAAATTTTACACTTTAATCTGTAAATTTTACACTTTAGTCTGTAGAATTTACACTTGAAAGTGTTACGTTCTAAAATCACTGTAATTTTAACTGTTATATTTTACATCATGATTCTAGACCCATAAACTTGCAATAGCAGTCTGAACTGCAAATGAGAAGACAAAAATATTTGAGATATGTATTTTTTACTGTTCGTCGCTCTATATTATAGTACTAAAGAAATATACTGGATTGAAGGCAGATTCCTGATATTTTGCTGGGGACAATTACGAGGCCAATGAGCAAATCGCTCATCCTTACTTATCATATATATACATGTGTAAACTTTTATGCAAACACTTGTGAACATCTCAGATTTATACCATTTTTCAAATGTCATAGGTATAACACCATGAAACGACCGTTAGATTATAACGGATTACAGTATAATATATACCTGGGTATTTAGAAGATAAACATAGTACTCGAGTATCGTGAGCTAGTTGCTTCTTACAAATTTATGAGTTTCATGCTCCTGGGTCTGATGAAAATGCACAAGTTCTTTAGAAATCTTCTTCTCTGCCCCTTGGTATTGAACAGCTAGACAAACTAATGGTTATGATGAGCAAGGATTCCTCTTCCAAAATTATAAAATTCATAGCCCATGAGTCAGGGGTTTTGGGGTAAGGGTGGGACTGTATTGAATATATAGTGAAAATGCATAAACCCAAATTCTGTGAAAATTGTCTTCTCTGTTCCTTGGTATTTAGAAACATACTAAATGCATGATTATGATGAGCAAGGGTGCTTCTTCCAAAATTATGAGTTTCTCTGCCCCTGGGTCAGGGGCTCTAGCATTAGGGTATAGCTCTGTTGGTTATACAGTGTAAAATGCATCAATTCTTTGAAAATCTTCCCTGCTCATGGATATTTAGCAGATAAATTAGGTGTATAGTTATGACAAGAAAGTATGTCTGTTCCAAAATTGTAAGTCTTTTGACCCCTGGGTTAAGGATTTTGGTATTAAGGTGGGGCTGTGTTAAATCTACAGTGGAAATGCATTATTTCTTTGAAAATCTTCTGCTATGCTCATGATCATATAAGGGGCAAACATTGTACAAAGTTGTAATAAGCAAGGGTATTTTTATCAGATTTGTGAAATTTGGACCACTTGGTCAACTTTGTCAAGGATTCTCATGTTGGGCAGCGCTCTATTTGAATTCTTCTGAGAGAAGTTATTCACTTTAACGCTTCACCCATGATAATTAAAATAATGTCATTGAAAGGTCAACTGAATAAAAGAATTATACAAGAATTTTTGTAATACATAATACAAAAAGTACTTTCATTTATTTTTAATGGACACATAGATAGACTTGTAAATAATAGAAAAATAAACATTAGGCAAAAACACCTTATCTTTGTACATTACATGTTCTTTAAAGACCAAGAGAAGTCAATATGAGAGGGAATGAAATGGATTAGCTACTAGTGCTCAAGCACTTTTGCTCTGTTTAGATTGCATTATGATATTGACTATTGGGGTAAGTACAAGCAAGTAGATAGATCGACTTTAAGATTTGTTACTGATTACTACACAAATTATTTTGTTGATCCCTGATCATCTTCTTTGTTTGGGCAACATAGCTTCACCTGTCAGTTTATTTTGGTTTATTTTATACTTCTTTGGATCCTTGACAGCGTTGTATTATACTCAGATGACCATTAAGGCCCTTGGACAGCCTCTTGTTAGGTATTGTGCACTGTTTGTCCTTTATAAACTTTTGAAAATTTTCAACTTTTTCTCATAAACTGCTGAAAAAATTACAGCCAATTTTTGATGTAAAGCATCTATTGGTAAATCGGAAGATAAAGGGTGAATTTCATGGTTTCTGTCTCCTTGAGCCCAAGGTAGGGGGTTAAAACCATAGAAATTAATGCAAACTTCAAAATGTTTCTTTACTCCTTGACTTTAATCAGTCAAATTGTTGACCTGATTATAATGAGAATGGAGCCCTCTAACAAACTAGTGAAATTCACAGTCCCAGGGTTCTGGTGTTAGAGTGGGGCTCTGTTGATCATATATACTGAAACGCAAAAGAAACGCAACATCCTATTTTAAGGTCTGATGACACGTTGCTCGAATATCTGTTTTGTATCTCCTTATATAACAAATAAATCATAATTATCATTGTCTTGTGATTTTTAAACTGTTTTCAAAATGTCTTAGTAGATAAAGACACCAAAAAATTTTGATATTGGCATTGGTAATGATTTCTAATAGGATTATATAGCAAATGACATCGTCTGGTATCTTGCACAAATGCCTGGTAAGGTACCTTAATTTTTTGTGAGGAAACTTATTAAAGTAGCAATACTTCAATGACAAATTCTGGGAAAAAATTATATATTACTGAGGAACGTGTCGTCTGACCTTAAGGGGAAATATTACATATAGGATAAAATTTTGTAACTAAAAAGTTAGGACATCTTCAACTTTGTAAATATCGGTACTTTAACGGTTGAATGATTTTCATACCATTACCGGAAGTTAAGTTTGAGTCCGCTTTAAAGAAATCAAAAACTGCATGTTTAACAAAATATTTGGCAATTATACGGGGTTTTAAGAATTTTTATCTGTTCATCATAAGTAATGAAGCAATGTTACGAAAAATACATTCTCCTTTCTTTTCCGTAAGCGATGCCAAGGCTTCCTAAAAATGACTTAAGTACGCATTTCCATTGCTCTAGCTGGAAAATATCAAAATAAAGGTGATGGAGAGTTAGAGATGCAAATATGCAACACATCACGCCTCAACAGGCTCTTACATATCATTAGCATGAATTGCAGTCATTGGACCGGAAGTCCAAGGGTTACTACACTGCGCTTGGTTAGAGAAAATTCGACCTCATCATCTGAAAAACAGGCATTTAAAAATGGCAAAGAATATTTCTTTCGCTCAGATCTCGAGATTGATGAACCTACTGCATCGTAGAAATCAAGCTGCAACTGTTGTACATGACAGTCTTGCACGCTGTAATTGAATGGCCGGGGTGGGGTGGGGTGGGGGGTGTTTTAACATTCATGTGTTACTTTCTAAAGTTAAAAGATTATAATTTAACATGTTTATCAAATATCTGATGTTTATAAATCGAGTTTTACCTTACTATATTCATTTTTGAAAATCATTAGATAAAAAATTCAAATATTTATAGAGTACTGCTTGTTGCGTTTCTTTTGCGTTTCAGTATAGTAAAAACTCTTCCATTTTTTGAAAATCATCTCAGTTACAGGGCATCTAACAGACAAACTAAGTACATAATTGTAATGAGCAAGGGTGTTTTCCAGATTTGTGAAATTCATGACCGCTGGGTCAGGAGTTCTGTGTAGGGAAATTTTACTCCACTTTGAGAGAAGTTATTCCCCTTTGATTATTTATCTGTGATATTGACTATAAATAATGTAATTAAGGTCACGTATAAAAGAATTACACAATGATTTTTAATTATATGATTGAAAAATTCCTAGCTCTCCTCTCTGATTTCTGAGATCCAACATGGTTAAAAAAACTACATTTACGTTATGTTCACTTGCACATAACCTTCTAGGTGAACATAAGGATTTATTTTTTCTACATTAGAC